AGACTTGAGGTATAATTGTCCTACATATACACCCCTGAAACCATCACTACAATAAAGATTATTTAATATCTCCATCACTGCTAAAATGTTCTCATGCCCCTTTGTAATCTACCTTTGCTGCATCCTCACATGATCTTACATTTCCTCAGTGCCCTTGTATCCCTGGTGTCTTTTGAGTGTCCTAATATCTTTTTATGAGGATACCATTCATGTTGGATTAGAGTCCACCCTATGGCCTCATTTTAACTTAATCACCTTTTTAAAGGCCCTATCTCCAAATAGTCGTATTCTGAGGTCCTGGAGGGTTAGGACTATAACATATGAATTTTGGAGAAACACAATTCAGACTATGATGTATCATTAGTTTGGTATTTTTTATTGCTGAGTAGTAATTCCATTGTGTAGGCATACCATATTTGTTTATTCATTCACCTACTGATGAACATTAAGTTGTCTTCAGTTTTTGGCTATTGCAAATAAAACTGATATGGGCATTCATATGCAGACACATGTTTCTATTTCTCTTTTTTCCCACATTAGTATAATGCTTTATTTAAAAAAATTTTTTAAATCTTTATTGAATTTATTTGGGTAACATTAGTTAGTAAAATTATATAGGTTGCACGTGTACAATTCTATAATACATCCTCTATATATTGCACTGTGTGCTAACCACCCAGAGTCAGTTCTCCTTTCATCACCATATATTTGACCCCCTTTTCCTTCTTCTACCACCCTCCCTCCCACTTGCCCTAATTCTCTTAAGTAAATACATAGGAGTAGAACTGCTGATTCATATAGTAGGTATATGGTTAAGTTTATAAGGAACTGTTAAACTCTTCTGTAGTAGGTAGAAAAAGATACATTATTATAGTTTTAACTTGCATTTTCCTAATGATTAATGATGTTGAGCATCTTTTCAGTATTTTTCACCTATATACCTTCTTTGGTGAAGTGATGCCCAAGTCTTTTGCTCACTTATTTTTGGGTTATTTGTACTCTTATCAAGTTGTAGGAATTCTTTATGTATTCTAAATGCAAGTCTTTTGTCAAATAAATGTCTTGAATATATTTTTCTCTCAGTCTGTTACTTGTTTTTCATTTTTATAACAGTGTGCTTTGAAGAGCAATTTTTTTTTAATTTGATGAAGTCTGGTTTTTTTCTTTTAGTTTGGGTTTTTGTTTTTTAGAAAAACTTTGCCAAACCCAACAACACTAAATTTTTCTGTTCAGTTTTCTTCAGAAGTTTTATGGTTTTAAATCCTACATTTAGGCCTATGATCAATTTTGAATTAATTTTTATAGAAGGGTTATAGTTCATTTTGTGGTATAAGAATATGCAATTGTCCAGAATCATGTATTGAAAGATTATCCTTGTTGACTTACATCCTTAAATTCAGATGATATCATCTGTTCTGTCCTCCTGACGTGACTGTAGATAGCATTTGATGAGATATGTGTAAACACTCTCTGACAAATGGGAAACTAATAGAAATCTAAGTCACTATCATTATTAGTTGGTTCTGGGTAGATCTTGACCCAGAGACATGTAACAGAAAACGTATTACTAGGCCAGGAGTCAGAGAACCTGATGTGCAGTATAGCCCCACTACTTTTTTAGCCTTTGAAATAACTTTTAACCTCAGGGATTATTCCCTCATCTGTAAGACAAGAATGGCAATATCTGACTGGTATATTTCAGAGGGATTTTATAAAGATTATTCATTTTTAAAAGCTTCGTAAATTATAAGTGCTATAGAAATGTACAATATCGTCTTTACAACTGAAAATCCCTGGACTACATAATGAGGTCCATTCTTGTTTTGCATGGTAATACGGGGCCACAAATTTGACTGTGCAAGCTGGAATTGTGCAAACAGATCTTAATAATCAAGGGGGAAAATTATGATTGTTCCATAACCCTTAAAAATGTTTGTCAAAATATTACAAACCCTTTTACTATTGGTTATAAATGTACAGGAAAGCGGAAAAATAGCAAGAATAATATTTAAAACACTGGAATTTAAAACATTGGAAACATTGAGAATTAGAGCAAATACTTTATTAAAAATCTTATCAAGAGTAATTTGAACAGTGTTTGCTTCTTCTTTGTATCACATAACTCACAATGTACACTGAGCACTTTTTCTATGCCTTGGTGAACTATCATACTCTCTACCTACTTTGGATGAGTTTCTACCTTTTTATCCTTTGCACTTACAACGTTGTGGAATAGCACCAATATTTTCTTTAATGTGAAGTTTTTTTTTGCCAGCATAATTTCCTCTAGGACACTTTCATCTTTTCTGTCACAAACACTTTCCTCATTTATGCCAATAAATTCCCCTCAACAATTTCTTCTAACTTCATATATGGAGTGTCTTGAATGGTGGGGGGTCAACATTTCCCTAGTCAGCTATTTCTTCTATAACTCTATGTTCTGTTAGAATTTCACCCCCATTTTTCCTTTTTTTTTGTTTCAATTTCATCTTTGTTGGTCAATTCCCTCTTTTGATTATCCACATCCAATAAAATGCTATATGGATTTATCATTGAAAGATAAGGAGGCAACACGACAACGTATTTGCTGTCTGTCATGAGCTGAATAACTGGCACACAGAGATGAACTGCTGACATATTTTAAAAGAAGTGACATGGTTAATCACTGATCAAGATGTGCATCTATTATTTATTAATATATAGTAATTTGTGGACAGAAGAGTTAGCAGTGAAGTTTGTACTTTATGCAGTTACTCATAGCTAATATATTGTAATTACTGAAATTTGAATCACATTGTTGAGTGACTGGTGTTATTTATAATAACTAAACACCGTAACTGAAATTTGTGTATATGGGAGCCATGCAAAGTGAGGACTGCCTGAACTTAAAGTGTCGCAGGATGTGTGAATTCCCCATTTAGTGTTCTCAGCATTTGAAGAGGAGGGAAAATTAGTTATTTCTTTGGCTTTTTTGTGATTCTTCAGGAACTTCCTCGGTTAATTCCAGAAATGTATGGTGAAGAAATCAAAGAAACTTGCCATGGTTGTCACTTAAATAGGCTAATTTTAAATTAAATTACACTGTGGTATGAGGTACACAAATCAGCGAACTTCAAACCAGAACTGGAATGAATAACAGTTGATTTTCTTTTATGAGAATGTCAAAAAGTTTACATTATTTTCCTTAGTTTTAATCTTTTTAACTTAGTTTTCATATCTTGGCATTTCTTTAGTTGTTACTCTTCTTGTTCCCATAATAAAGAGTTCAAGCCAGATCAAATGTTAAATACACTCCATACCCAAAAGGAGTTTTTTATACTTCCAAGAGGCTCATTTTAAAGGTTTGCTTGCATTCAGTCTCCTTGAGGGCTAATTGCACATGTAGGGATAGGAATTATATTATATAATCAGAACCTCTAATCTCTTGGAGTAGAACCAAGTTGTTCACATTCTCTCATAAAATGTCTAACAATGTGGTTCATCACCCTGATTTCAGAAATATTCATTAATACACTTCTTTACACTCTCCTTATACAAGAGAGCAGAATAAATTATTTTAAATATTTTGAGAAGGTACTTATTACTTTTATAATCATAAAGTTATTTCAGAACTAAATGAACCAAATAAACATGAAGGTATTTATTCAATGATGACAGTCACCGTGTTCTACTCTGATTTTGTAACTGCCTTAAGTCTAGTGGGAGAAACAGGAACATAAATAGATAACTAAAATATAGTTTGGGAATTGGGGAAGGGTAATCACAAGATGGTAGAGACTATTAGAGAAACAGCAGGTCTAGCTTTGAAGAAAATAAGAAAGGTCTGGCTGAGCTTGCTCTGAAAGACTGCAGGAGTTACCTCCACAAAGAACAGAGGATGGGTGGTTGTTATAAGAACCATAGGTTCAAAGATTTGGAGACAAGAGAAAGAGAATGATGAATTCCAGAAACCAAAAGAAGTTCTGTAGAAGAGCTGAAGCAAGAGAGGTAAAATTTAAGCCTTGCTAAAGAACTTTACCGTGATAGAAACAGAGAGGCAAAAAGCTTTTTTAAAAAAGAGTACCATGTTCTGATTTGCATTTTAGGAAAATCATTTCAGTAGCTGCTGTGAGTAGATGGGAGTGGGAGTAGACAGAGACCAGCTGAGAGATGAAACAGGCTCAATCTAAGTAAGCAGCAATGGGAATCAGAGATGAAAAAGGATTCCAGAGGTATCAAGGAGGGAGAATCAAAAGAGCTTTGTGACTACTTTCAGATACTACAGATGACTCAAAGTTTTCTGGTTTGGACGGCTGAGTGGTTGCATTAAATAAGATATATGTATAATAAAGGAGGAAGGTCAAGTTGGAGGGAAAAAAAATTGTCACTTAACTTGGAAAAATTTTGACTCTGAAAGGAATGTAAGGCCTAGAATGAGATTTCCTGCCTAAGATTAAAACAGTGTTGTGTTTTGTTTCTGCTCTTCGGATGGCCTGAAACAGATAAATCCTGTGAGGCACTGGGTGGGGAGGGAAGTGGCACTAGCTTCACTCAGCACAGGAGGTAATGTGAGGGCGCTTTGGAGGCACTCAAAGGGCAGCCTCCTGTTGGTAGATTGACATTTTTATTTTCCAGAACAAAGAATGTAAATAGCCCCACTATTATTTGTGTGTCTAAACAAAATAACCAGGGAAGGTGTCAGGGCTTAGGGTACCAAAAGTGACAGATGTCTCAGACTCTTAGACTTTGTTTTAGATGATTCATAGCTTGAGAAGTAGCAGAGAATTAGAATAAGGTTGAAGGACTTCTGTAAATAACCCTGTGACAGTGGCTGGAAGAAGTACCTGGAATAGAAGACTTGACCTTTACCATGTTGTAGCATATCCAAAAACATGCCCAGGCCCCCCACTGCTAGAGCTCCTCAGGATGGTCTCAGGTCAAAGGCCTAACACTAAAAGCCACACAACTCACTTTTATCTTTTCCCAAATATAAATAGGAAAAAAAATCATTTTTAGCTTACATGGAAGAATATCTCGGTATCTGTTTTTGTCTCTGTTGCATGGTTCATTCCCAGAGTTGAACTCACCGGGCAGGTTCTCATATTCTAAATTCTTTAAAAGGTAAAAAATATAAGTCATGTATATACTATAACAAAAAAAAAGTCTGCCTTTGTTTAGTGTTCATGATCCTTAACACTACATGACATGAACTTATATTAAATGTGTTGTATGATAAGTGGAGAAATCAGAACACCATTTAAAAAGTACTATATAAAATATCTCAAATTTGACATGTCAATCAACAAGTTACTTAGTAAGAAAATGTTAAACTCTTTGAGATCCTTTTTCCCTTGAATTTCAATATTTTTCAACTTTTCTTAAAAAAACAATCAATATCGAATATTCACTTCTTAGGACCTACCCATAAATCTATCATTTTATAGACAAAAATAATAAAATAACAGCAACAAAAATCTATAAAGATATGAACAAAAAAATATAATGTCTCACAACTTACTCCATGGCCCATGAATAAATTCTAGCTATTAATAAGATACCAACTAAAGAATTCTTCCTTTCAAAAAAATTTATTTACCAAACGCAAATTCAACAAACATTTACTGAACACTTAGCTTATATTTGGCACTGTTCTAGATATTAGAATACAAAGCTGAATCAGAATCTGAAAATGGCTTCATCCTAAAGGAGTTACCAGAGCACTTGGAGAGACAGACATGTGAATAATTTATTATACAGAAATACCAGTGCTAATGACAGCACGAGATTGTATTTGAAGATACAGGAAGGAAAGCTCCTAGAAAGGAAGTCGTATCTGAACTGGGCCTTCCTGAGTCATCAGAAGTTACTCACATGAAAGTCTGTGTGTCTGGAAGGAAGGAAGAGCAGTGGTGAATGGCTACCGTTCCAGGTAGGAGGCACATGCATCCTCTCAGGAAGCACTGAATAGCTTGGTAACAGGAGCACATGATCTAGCCTAAAGGGAAACTAAAACTACCTGGAAGGCCTTGTTTCATATGAAAAAGAAATTGAGACGTATCTAGTCCTACTATTAGAATATTTGTGGAGAAAACCTTAGAGCTTGTACTTTTTAAAAGCTGCATACAAAAGAGATAATGTCTTCATTATACAAAGAGTGATTAATCGAAAAGAAAAAGAATAAACAGAACATTGGGCAAAAAACTGAAACTAGCAGTTCACTGAAAATAAATATGAAAGGCTTAAAAATAAATGGAAAGCTATTCTTTGTTCTCAGATAAATAAATGCCTTTTAGATCATCAGTGAGAAACCATTTGTCATTTAAGAAATAAACACAAGATCCAAAAGTTTGATAGCACAAAATACTGGTTGTCTTTCTAGGAATTTGTTCTAAAGAATATGCACATATATGCACAGGCATATAAAGAGGGGTGATTGCTGTTCACAAGAGCATAGTCTAGAATAATCTAAATGTCCATCATAGGGGACTATTTAAAGACAGGAAAGTCTTTAGCCATATAATTAACTACTATGCAACACTTAAAAAGAATGAGACAGCTATATGTGCTAATAATGTATTTGGAAATTATTTCTTAAATGGAAAATTTGTTTAAAAGGAAAGAAAGGGTAGAATAGTGTGTAAAGTACATGTCAACAAGTTTTCTGGAAGTCTATATGACAAACTTAATAGTAGAAAGGGGGCCTAGGAAGTCAAGGGAGAAAAAAGAGGGAGATTTTATTGCTTTTATAACTTTTCATGTTATTTGACTTTTTTACTGTGTACACCTATTACTTCAAAAAATTTAATATTTAAAAACAAGGACAGTGTACTCAATCTAAACAAAACAAAACAAAACAAAGCCCTCTGGTAGTGATGTGGAAAAAGAAATCACATATAGACTTTTGTTAAAACCAAAATATTTACCATAAATTCCTGAATGATTTCATATCCTTCTACTTTTTTCTGAAACATTTTAAAATAATCCTTGATGGCTGATTGCTCACGAACACTGAATATTAATGGTCGAACCTGAGCCAACTGAGCTAGCTCCCTTTCAGAAACAATTTGTATACCTAAGAAAGAGAAAAATTCACATTTGTAACTTACTTGTATGTATGTGAAGGGAGATTTTATTCTTGTTCAAGTTGTTTTCTTAAAGGCACAAGCACTTAAAATTAATGGATGTTTATTTTTTCAGAGGTTGAAAGAAAGTATCATTGTTTTGGAAAAGTCATGACTGTGTATCTTGAAATTACACAAAACCCACTGTTCTTGGAGAAAACTGTAAGTGCTATAAATATAGCAGATGCAGTAAACTGAGAAGTTTTCTGTTTCATAATGTGAATTGTGTGTATGCATTGACAATTATTCCAAGGCAAGCATGTGCATGACTTTCCCCTTCCCGAGACCAAGTGTTTGGAAGCACCTGGAGTCTGAGATGAGAGGATTGGAGAGTCTAAAACACCTCTTACTCTAAAACAGATTAAGTACACATACATGCGCATACATGTACACACACATATCCATCACACACACACACACACACACACACACAAATCCCCAAGGATAGAGAGGATCTATATGATGCAATCAATAGAAATATATATATATATGTATATATTTACATTTATAACCAATAACAACAGAAGAAAATGCATTCTATTTAATACCACACATGGAATCCTTTTTTTAAAAATGATCTTTTTGGTCATGTTGACAATCTAGAGTTCACATATCTGAAATTTTACACATCATGTCCACTGGCCAAAATGTAATAAATCTAGAAGTATTTATTAAAAGAATATTTTTAAAAATTCAGAATTTTGAAGTAAAATTATCAAGGGAAGCCATTCTCAAAATCTCTGTCCAAAGCCAAATAATATGAACTAAAATCAAGTAAATAGCAGCAAAAAATATACAAGAAGCCATTAAGCAGAAGAACAGACATAAAAAAAGAAATGGAAGTTTCTAAAAATCTGCACAGCCCTGGGACACTCATCTAGTCTTGGAACACTACTATACCTAAAAGCTTTTTTTTGTAGAGGTGGGAGTGAAGAACTGTTGGTTGGGAGAGAAAGAGTCACAGAAATCCTTAAAAAAATTTCACAGATATCTTTAGTATACGAAGAAGACTAGGAAGCACAAAAGGGGAGAGGATTCCCACAAGAGTAGAAGCCATTATGATCATCTTTGATCCCCAGCAGAAAAACCCTTAGAGCTTCCTTCCATTGTGTTCCAGCTTTGCTGGGGAAAAAAAGCTAAGAGAAGGCAGAGAGGAAAGGTAGAAGACTGCAATGGGCACTATCGGTGGCCCCCAACACTAAGTCTACCCTGATGGTTCAAGTCATTTGTCATTATTCCACAATAATTCCTTTGCCAGTGAATAATTCAGCAATAGGTAGGTGATTTGAGCCAATGGGAAGAAAGGAGGAGTTTATTCAGGGCTTATGGGCAAGAGAATCAAGCCTCTGCCCCACCTTTATCCCCTGCTCAGACATAAGCACAGAAGAATAGGCCCTGATTACCACAAACAGCCCTATTGTGACCATAAAAGAAATGAGCTGAGTATAGCTGATATGGGGGAAAAACTAAAAAAGCTATGTTCTTGCTGACAGCACTGAGCAACTAATGATACTGAATCTGGAATACTTCCCACCTCAGGACTTCCATTATGGGAGAAAATATATCTCTTTACTGTTAATGTCATTTTGAATTTGGTTTCTTTTCATTGTAGCCTGGTCCAAGAATTCCAACAAGGTGTACAGATCAGGCTTCAACTATAGATAATGGCAATCATTACAGAAAGAGATGTCATTTATCTATTTGGTGCTGACAACATCATTGGGCAGGTTTGAAGAGAAGGTGCTTTCCCGTTATGATCCAAAAATAACACATCAGAATGGTCTGCCAAGAAAAGTGCTACCTTTGCCACAATGAGGAATCTGAGGGAACTGGGCATTACTGCAATAACCACTGGCTCCTTGATGACACTACCTTAGCAACCATGAGAAGTTACGAAGTCACTGCCACAACTCTTGGCTCAAGTAATGTAACACATTAACTATAATGAAGCATCAGGAATATCACGCCTGCTGTGGTGTATATCAGCAACATGGGTGCTTCTCTACACATTTAAGTCTTTGCTAAGTGCAAATGATTGGTCAAACCCACACTAGTTACCAGGCTATCTGGGAAATATAATTTTTAGTTCGCCTTCTTGAACCATACAGGAAGGTGCACGAGGAGGAGTGTACAGTCTAGGTTAAGTAAGCTCATCTACAATACATGCCAGACGACAATTCAGCCACACCATTTCAGCATTCTGCTCCTTCCCCCACAACCCTTCTGCATCCTTGTTATTGTCTTCAGGCAAAATCCAGCCCTCAAAGTAGTTTAAAATGAAAGATAACTAGAGTCAAATCAAATGGGATGAGAATCAAGAAGAATTCATTCATGCTTAATTAGCAAAATCAAAGAGATACAAAGCTATATACGTTCATGTACAAGATGGAAATAAAACATGAGATGTGGGAAAAAATGAGTAATACAATATGGTATGCAAAATGTTTAATCTATTCTGAATGGAACATAACCTAACTTGTAGATCTACCATCTGTAGGAAGAAGTATAAGAATATGAATTATTTTAAATAATAGTACAAAAAGAAGACAAAACAACAAGATGAAGTGAAAAATAAGTTTACAGACATAATAAAATAAAGGCCAAAAGTACATGATTGCAGAATTAATAATTAAACACTGCAAGAAACAAAGTAGACAGTTGAAAATGATTTTATTTATAGGACAAAAATATATGCATATAAATTAATGAAAAGAAGGAAAAAAAGATAATGCATACAGGGACCTCATCAGAAGAGCAGGAGAAAAAGTGGGACAAGGTAAGCAACTCAAGAAATCCTCCTTCATGGTGCAAGTCTGGAGAGGGGAGCAGCAGCTTCTGCAGCAAAGGCATGAAGCCCCACCCAGTTTATTTTCCCTATCTCCCCTAAAAAGGGCAGCAAACCCTATTACCCTCAAAGCATAGGTTAAGACTCACTGACATTGGGGATAGAGAAAGAAAATCATCCTGGGCTCAGACCATATCACTTACCCCTAAAGAAAGAGCAGGGTAACTGAGAAGGCACCATCCCAGTGATATACACCTTAACAAAGTTGAACAAGGACAACAGAGAATGCCACTCCCACCCTCAACCAGGTTAGGAAGCACTCTGTTGCTAGGGAATGGGCCAGATCATGGATAGGAACCTTCTCTGAGGCACAGGTACAATAGGGAGATCTAAAGTAGAGAGCAGAGTAGACACTGAGTAAAACCTCTAGCATGCCATTTTCCATTCCAACCACAAGTTAACAATACAGGAATTTGAGACTGGTGGTACACTGAGAGTAACCACAGCAACATCAGAACCCAAACCCTGGTGAATTCCTAACTAAATTATCTCAACTCCTCACACTGAACACATACCTACCAAAGCAAGAGGCATGTCCATTTCTATTTACCTCAGTGTCTAGAACACAAGATATCCAGATTTCAACAACAACAAAAATAATTACATGGCACACAAAGAAGCCAGAAAAAAAGGAAAAAATAATAATAATAACTATCAGGAGAGAAAGCCATCAACAGAACCACAGATAAAACATACATGTTAAAACTATCAGGCAATAAATTTAAAATAACTAAGATCAATGTTAAAGGCTTTAGTGGGAAAAGTGCACAACATGCATGAACAAATGGGAAATTGCATCAGAAAGATGTAAAGCATAAGAATTGAACAGAAATGCTAAAAATGGAAAACACTGTAACAGAAATAAAGAATGCCACCAATGGTCTCATGAATATGCTTAATATCAGCAAGTAAATAATTAATGAACTTAAAAATAAGTCAATAGGCATTACCCTAACTGAAAGAGAAAACAAAGGGGAAGGGGAGGGCACAAAAGGGACCATCCAAGAGCTACAGGCCAATATCAAACAGACTAATCTTCCTGTAACTGGAATCTCAAATAGGAAGGTGAGGGGGAGGGGGAGGGGGAGGGAGAGCAAGAGGAGGAGGCGGGGAGAGAGAGAGAGAATTAATAAATATTTGAAATACTAATGCTTGGGGAATTTATTTTCCAAGATGAATGAGACACCAAGATTGAGATCCAAAAGCTCATCATAAACAATACCAAGGCAGAGGGCAATCCAAAATTCCATAACCAACAAAAATATCTTTCTAGAAAAAATTAAAGGAAAAAATAATACGTTTACAGGCAAACAAAAACTGAGACACATCATTAGCAGCAAACTTGCACTATAAGAAATGTTCAAGGAGGGGGAGGTTACAAGATGGCAAAGCAGATAAACACTGTGCTTGCCTTCTCCTGTGACCACATTAAAATTACAACTATGTGGGCCGGCCGAGTGGCACGTTTGTTAAGAGCTGGCTTGGGATGCCAGAGGGCCCCAGTTCGGATCCCACATATGAGGGCCAGTGACGCTGCCCTCTACAGCTAAGATGCTGAACAATGGCTCAACCTGGGGCTGGGCTGCCCATGAGTTGCCAGTGATGGGTAGGCTGCAGCCCCTGCTGCAGTGGGTTGCCATGGGCTACCGTGTGTAGCCAGCAGCCGGCGTGAGCGGCCATCCAGAAGCCGGCGACTGATCTGCCTCACCTGGGAAGAGCGCAATGATGGTGCCAACATGGGCCAGTGAAGCGATGTCTTCCACAACTAGACTGAAGAACAAAACGACAGCAACTTGTCTGTTCCCCTTCCCCCAATTCCCCAGGGCTGTCCCCACCCCCCAATTCCCCAATAAAAATTTTTAAAAAATAAATAAATAAGTAAACAAATAATAAAATTACAACTATGTGATATATAGATGATGTATTACAGAATGCACATCTGAAATCTATGTAACTTTGTTAATAATTGTCACCCCAATAAACTTTAATTGCAAAAGAAAAATGACAACTAAAGTATAGAATAATTAACCTAGAGAACAATACGAGGTATGACAATTAAGTTTGCAAACTTGTTGCAATGATGTTGCTAACCTTTATTGATATCAG